GCCGGCGTTGCCGCCTCTCCCTGATAGACTTCTGGTTTCTCAAGGCTGTTGCTCTAGCACAACTGTTTCGCAACCTGGGGACAGCCTTTAAGGAGGGGGGAAGAAAGGTTGCGGCCGTCTGACTTGGCCGTTTTTAACGAGAGGAACAGGGACGCTTGCTTGTGTCTCTTCGGGTTTAAAAGAGCAAAAGAGGGAGGCTGATCTTGCTGTAATCGCACTCGTTTCTTGTGCGCTTTTCTCCTGGTCAGTTATAAACGTGATCGATAACAATATGAAACCATAGGACTCGATGGAAATATATGTGAAAGAGTGCCCCCTTTGAGGGCTTGTGTACCTGTACTGCAAAACAAAAGTAATCCTAGGGATCTTTTTAATTAGTGTTTGAAGCAAATTTAGTGGGAGTTTCTTGACATCTCACAAGGAATTCGGGGAAAACCATGCTGCTGTTAAGAGCTGGTGGGAAATAATGGAAACTTGTGAATGCTTCTGGGCATTTTTTGAGTTGTCTCCTTATTGTGTTTTAACTTGATCAAAACTTACTCCCCCTTCCCTTCCCCCCAAGTTTGAAAGCTCAATTTTTAGTCCAAGGAAGGATGGAGACTTGGAAAGAGTATAACTGAAAGGTAATGCCTTATTTTGAAAGTTATAGTTTGTCAAAATTTCAGTGTTTCAAAACTGTTGGCTGCCTGTAGTTGCTGTATATTGCTCACTCTTCCAAGAGAGGCTGTTAATGTATCTATGGAATATGTCCTTTGGAGAAAGTCAAAGGAGGGGTATTACCAAACATGTTTTAAGGAGATGCTAAAACACAGTGGCTGTGGATGGCTACGATCGTTTCATTGCTATTCTGTGGATTTACTTAGACTGGTGTTTCTCAGAAATCTGAGCTGACCAGTGTTGTACTGAGTGTTTTGGTGGGTGTGGATAGAGATATCCAATAATGCACAGTAATAAAGGAACAGTAGTTGCCATAAATTAGAATATCTGTAACCAGGATATGCTACAATTTGGATACACTTAGTCTTTAAAACTATAAGTCTCCAGCAGGAGCTATTAGTTGAGTCTAGAAGAAAATGTCGCACAGTGATACCTAGAGGGAAGTGAGAATGATATATACACCCCTGACTATAATGTTTTACATAAACATAGCTGCCTTGTGTTTCTATACCTTAAAGACCAACAGATGAAAACTTGTCTTAGGAGATGGACGTGAACTCGCATCTTTTTATCTTTGGGGTCTGTTACATTAGAGTTTGAGCTCTTCTTTTACCTCACCTGCTGTTTCTGTCTTGGCTCCGTCGCTGGTTGTGCGGCAAGGAGCTACCATAGATCAGGATGCCATCAGAGATGTTGCCTCTCTGTCCCCTGGACTTGCTGAGGGCAACGCAGAGGGTTACGTGCTGGTAGCCACCCGGGGGTCACCCTCAAATCCACGTGTGTAGCCTACAGAGTAGGAGGTGACTACCTGGGTGTGTTGCAAAAGCATGGATCCTCTGGCTTTTTCTTCACATAGCTGGGACTTTTTTTGGCTAACAGTGGCCAAGAGACTGCAGGTGGCAGTGTCACATGTACTCATTATGCAGGGCAGAAAAAGTTTTAGTATACTTAAGCGTCCAGGGTTTGTCCTTTGTGCGTTTTGGGTTACGTGCAGTGTTCAGTAAGTCAAGTTATATGCCCCTCAGTAGGACTCCAGAGTATCAGATACACCTTAAAGCTTTATGTACGCTCAGCAGGAGCTGCTGCCTTGTAACTCCCTTCATAAAAATCTTCTCTTTTAGCTGCTGGGGCTGTCGATTGCTGCACTGAGCACAGTTACTCACTGCGGGCTCCATTTCACCCTCATCAGCAACATTGCTTTCGAGAGCAACTCCTACAGAGTCATCCACAACGCAGGTATGTTGCAGTCGCGTCCCAGTGAGATGTTCCGTGAGCCCAGGATCTGCAAAACATCGCAGGCTCCTAGGAGGAAAATCCCATGAAGAGGCAGGGAGTGGTTTTTGGAGGAGACCCTAGGGCTAGCATAGCCACGCAGAAAACTTTTTCTGTATTGGACCTGGCATCGAAGGGTGTTGTGGCCCTGCCTTGTTTTCTTGGCCATGTTTACACTGCCCTGATTGAAAGAAGATAATGAAAATGGAAGGATGGTATCAGGACCACAGCCCTGGTCCTCCAGCTGTAAGTGTTGAGGTGGGTTAGGGTGACAGAAGGGAAAATGGTGAGAAATGCAAGGGAGCAGGAGTATGAGCAGAGAGGTGGTTATAGAGGCTGCAAGAGAGCATAAAGAAATGAGAGGGGACAAGGAGAAAGGCATGGAAATGCCCCTTCCTGGAGGAGATGGGGTGTTTTTTGGCTTGATTCATGCTCTGAAACATACAGAGGTTGCAAGAGGAAGACTACCCAAGTTAGCCAAGGGAGAAACAGAAACCGAGTCTCAGGTAAAAGGCTAGCCAAGAGCAAAGACTTGAGAACAGCCCAAATACTAAAATACTCTGCTTATGGCTGCTGCACTAGCATCTGCTGCTTCTCCAAAACTACACTTTGGGCTTAAGCATCCTCACACCCTCCCTAGATCCTGGTTACCAGCTCCACCTTGACATAAAATAGAAAGATGTAGAGACCGTTGTCTCCCAGAGCGTTGGACCAAAGCTAAGGTACAGCCCTCCTCCCTCTTCTGTACGCATCAGGGGTTATGTAAGTTGACGCTTAATTCGGCCTTGTAGGCTTTCCCTTTCTAGCCACCTCTCTGCTGCTTGGGGTCAAGGCTTTGAGTGGTCTTTCTGCTTGCTTTGCTTGCAAGTATGAATTTTCTGAACTGTTAGCCTGTGCTGTGGGTTACAACATCCTGGGCACCACTCTGTTCCCTGAGCCCTCCCATGGGGTATGGTTGTGACCCTGCTTTAGTCAGGAAACCAGAGAACGACTGTTGCCTGAGATTAGCAATGCATGAACTCCAGATAGGGGCTGTGCAATAGCCACTCCTGTTCTGCCCTGCCTGATTTGGGAGGATCTTTATCAGGCTGCTGAAATAATTGACAGCTTGTGGTCTATGGTGGGGGGGGGGATTGGTACGTTTCCAGGGTGCCTCGCTCTGCTGGAGTCAGGGGAAATTATTCGGAGGCTTACAGTTTTACAGGAGAAGTAAGCCATAGGCAGATAAGGAGTACTGAATAAGTTGCGGGACAACTGAGTTCTTCTGCAACCAGTCCTCTTATGTCAGGCCCCCAAATACGCTTTTTGGCCCCTATTTGGGTGAAAGCATCAGACTGCTTCCCTTAGTGGTGGTGCTAAAGTCTTGGTATCTGACTGCAGCTCCCGTGTCCGACTTCCTTCCAGCTTTCTACATCGGGATCTGTCTCAGCATGGTGCTGATCCTTGCTGCCCTCCTGAGCTCTGTTGCCACAGTGCGGGAATCGGAGCATCTCACAGCGATGGTACGTAGCTGGACTGACTAGCCAGGAGCAGCTCTTTGTAGCCTTCAGCTAATACCATGATAGAGAGAGACACAGAAGAGGCTCTTCGCCTCTGCTCTCTTCCAATCAACAGTAAAGTGTGATGTCTGTAGCGCTAGATCCTTGTTTTGTACCCTGGAGCATGCATCCGTGGAGAAAGACAAGAAGTTGTTCTGCACTGTGCTGCAGGGAGACTTTTTTTCTTTCTTTTTTGGCACAACGGAGCCTCGCCCTGCAAAGCTGCTCCAACTGGTGAATGTATCCTTATGTGCCTTGCTTCTCTTCCCAAGGTGCTTTGTACGCATACTTCAGCATGGGGTCAAAGCGAAGTGCTTACCCACCAAAGCAACTGTAGTGGTGATAATACTCGGTGTGGTTTTTTTTTTCCTCACAGTTGACACTCCTTGTGTGGTTAGTGTGGGGAAACCTTAACAGTGCAATTTTGAGGCAGAAGTTGAAGTCCAGTGTTGCTCTCCAGACATGAGACAGCAATGCCAACTCCTTCCACTTCCCTCTTGCTGGAGCATTTCTGTGAACATCCGCTGCAGTGAATGATGACGGGCTTACAAAGTATGCCAGAAGGCACATGGGCTTTTGACTCAATTGTCAGTTTTAGCCTCAATAGAAACAGTGGAGGGTCCCCTCAAGAGCTGAAATGCCGGCTGCATTGTGTGCAGTGAAATGCCTGTTTGGGCCCAGATCATGCCGGCATTAGCAAACTGGGCTATGAGTCCTTCAGCCAAAAAAAAGGCATTTGCAGAGAGGTTAGTATGAACAGAGCAACTTCTGGGATCGGAGTCAGAGGAATGAGTGAAAAAGTGCTGTTCATTGCGTGCTTGCTCATGCTCTGTTGCTGCAGCAGGAGTTGATAGGTGGTTGCTTTCTATAAAGCCATGCTATTCCTTTCTTTAACCCCAGGTTAGTTCTGGGGAGAAGCACTTGCTATTTGGGTCTCTGAGACCTGCTGTTCAAAACTTAAAAAAAAATAGGGAAGAAGACTTCTTCCCCAACTCCTTTCTGGCATTCATACATGCCACTTCTTCACTGTTTTTCTGAATGCCAAAAAACCAACTACGGAAAGACTCTGCCTTTCTAAGCCTGCCAGAAATACCACTGTGATTTTTGCCAGTTGTGTACTGGTGAAAGAACACAATCCCAGTTTAATATGAAATAATTGTATTGCTGTCATAAAAAATTAAAGAGGTTTTTCTAATATTTTTAATAGGAAAGAAACTGATTAAAGAAATGTGAAACTGACGCCTTAAAACTTAGTGCAAAGCAGCAACTGAACTGTTGCTGTTTCACCTTCTCAGTATGCAGTCTTTCTCTGTCTGAGATATTCATAAAGTTTGGGGGAGTCAGTGACACAATACCCATGGATATTGCTAGCAAAATACATATAATTACTCCCTCTTACTCTAAAATGGACTTTAGAGTGGCCTCTAACTGCGTGCCTGCAATTACCATCTCTGCAACAATAGATTGTGTGTTTGCATCTAATGGCAATTAGTTCAGGGCTGCCTGAAAATGCAGTTGAATTTTTTTTTTTTGTAGTGTTTATTCAGTTTCCTTACCCTGTATGCTGCATGGTTTGGGACATGCCAATAGATAAAACAGGCTGTTAAAACTATAATCATTTCCTAAATGGATAGTTTAAAACAAAAAAAACACCCCACACAGCAAACTCCACAGACCACAATTGCTGCCTCTCCTATGAGGAGCCTGTGCTCACCCCCAGTCCATCTCTCCCTTCCCTTTTCCGCTAGGGTGAGGAGGGGGACGTAGCTGCTTCCAGCTCCCCCGCAGACTCCCCAGACCCAGTCAGCTTGGTGCAGCCAACCCCTTGCACCAGAGGAGCCTTTGGCAGGTGGAAACCCTGAACTAGCTGTTGAGCTTTCTCTGAGGTTCCTAGTGCATCCTGTTTTCGCTGTTTTGTCATTTGCACTTTAAGTTTTTCAGGAGATGCGGCTGTCTTTGTTTTGGGTCTCTTATGGTTCCAGCTTCTTGAAGATGTGATATGCCCTCCTTGTGGGAAGAGGGAAGGAGAGAGGGTGTAAGGCACTCTTCCCATGGCTCTGGCAGTGTGGCGTCCTGCTTGCCCTACTTCATCAGGGGATAACAAAATGGCCTTTCTTGTTTGTTTTTTAAGCTTCATCTTTTTAGTCTGTAGGAGCCCTGCAGTGTGAGAGGCAAGAACAGCATGCAAATATCACTGGCAGGGTGTAAAGGACAAGTTAGCGCATGAGTTAGGGACAACCGCTCCTCTTGAAGTGGTTTTGCTGTTACAAGGTGGTGACATAACTCGGACTATGGCCGCAGTAGGGTAGTTATAGTATGGTTATAATGTGGCCATAATATTAACAGCAGCTGCAGAGTAGCAAACTTCCCCCAAGAAGAAAGTAGCCCAGGGTGGTTTTTCAGCCATCTGTGGGTTTGGCTGTGCAGATCTTAGAGGCAGACATGGGATGTGAGCTTGTGCCAGATGCCACCAGCTGATGAGAAATAGTAGAAGGCAGACCTTTCTCAGCCCAAGCTGGGGACCATGTGCGTGTTCATCCTCTCCTCTGTGTTTCACCACTGGAGGGGGCTGAGTCCCTGCGCTGGGTGTGCAGCAGCGCTCGCCACTGCTTCCCCTCTCTCCTCGCTGGGCGATGCTGCCCCTCAGGCCGGGCCCAAGGCAGTGAGCCTGGGGGCTGGTGGACACCTGGATTTCCACAGCTCCTCTGGAACAACAGTGAGGAGGCTGTAAATGAGCAAGTAGGGTGTCTTACCCTGCGTGGTGTAATCTAGGATTTGGAGTAAGCGCGCAGGAGTGCAGGGACCTGGACTGATGGAGAAAACTGGTTGAATAAGAGGGCGATCACCATAGTCCCTAGTGCTGCGATAGTGGTCGGTACCATGGCAATGGCATGTCCCCAGCCCTTCAGAAATGAACTGGCAGCCCTGAAGAATACTCAAGTGCTGATTGCTAGCAGCTTCATTCTCCAAGACCTCTGCTTGTTCTTTGATGCATCTTTGCAACAGGGGTTAGTAACAGATGCTTTAGAAGCAGGTGCAAGTCATCTTCCCTGGAAAACTCTGGCACCTGCAGTGTCCCTCCATGTCCAGACAACTTGGCAGCATGGTAACATCCTAAATCCTATATTTGTATAGGAAAGTTTTCCTTATTCCTATAAATTGCTCCATCTGTTATAATTGTTACAGCTAGGATCAGTCCACAGTGTGTTTTCGGCTCTTACCCTTTCATAAGGCTGGTGATCTGATCTCTGAGCTGCAGGTAGGGAATGAAGGCAAAGGGAGCCAATATCTTCTGTCTGATGTTAGACGTGGTAGTATGTAGGAGGGGGCTCGAACTCGTGGTGCTCCAAGGTTTCTTGTCAGCCCTCCCGCACTTGCAGTTTTTTTCAGCTCCTTAATAGAGAGGATTTTTCAGCTTCCCCAGCTATTGATTTTTAAAGGACTTTCCTCCTCTATGAAGTCTGTCTTGTTTTAAGACCCTTTGAATTAAAGAGAGGAAGAAGCAGCAGTGCTGGTGTCTCACATCTGGGACTGTAGGAAACCAGGCCGTGTTCTGGGCTGGCTTGGAGGAACATCGTCCTAGTCATTCACCTGTTGGGCAGATCCCATCTCCCCTTTTGCTTTCGTTTCCCTGCTAACACTTTGTCTATTTAGATTATAAATGTTCACCCTGCCTGGCTATCTGGTGGTTTGTGTGAGTATGGTGTATGCAGAAGAAGGGCCTCAGACTTTCTAGGCTTTATTGGTGCTGCCCTAACAATAATGGGTAGGCAGTTTTTAAAAAAAGTCAAATTGGTTAAAGCACACGTACCTCGGAGCTTGTCTTGTAGCTATGTTAGCAGAAACTACTGTGCGTTCATTGAGGCTTGCAAGGAAGCTGGTTTCTAGAGAGCAACTGCGATCTTGAAGATTACAAACTGTTCTAAAATCCTGGACTGTTTCCCCCAAAGCTCTTCTGAAGGAGAGAGAGCAACAACAGTTTTATTGACTGTCCTCCAACGATAGTTCTGGCAAACCTTTAAATCCCTGCTTTTCAGTGATACGTGATATATCATTCAGTCAGTCCTGAATGTAAACATCCTGTAGCTCTCTCGGTCTCCAAAGGCCATGTCGCTGTTGAAGGGGAGGAGAAGGAAGGAAAGCTGCAGTTTTGCTAGTACTGCTTGTACAAAGGAAAAGAGTCTGTCCAGATACTAGCACACAGTATCTTAAGCTCTCCTGAAGCCAGACAGATAGAAGAGGAGATAAAAAACGACAGAGGAGAAAGCAACGTGTCACTCAAAATATCCCATCTGCAATTCTTACGTCTGAGTTTTCCAAGCCTAAAATCCCTAATCTAGTGCAAAACGTGTTCGGGACAGATCTGTTCCAAGCACTGGTTCCAAACAATTACTGGGATGAAAAAGCGCTGGCAAATGCCTGATCTACCCCAGCTTCTCACTGAAACCAGGAGTGATGTGCCAGTGGAGCCAGCACTCAGCACAAGCTCTTTGCTTTACTGTTCCCAAATGCATAATTGCAGGCAAGTGTGTCAAGGGTCCTTAATAACACAGTAGTGCACTTTGGTGTCTTGCTTTTGCTATGAATCTGCCTCCTGCGCTCTCCTTCGTCGTGCACCACTCCTGAGCAAGAAATCAATCTGCCGGTCTCGTTCCCTGGGGAGCAGGCGCAGGTAGAGCTGGCACGGGGCTGGATCACAGCTGCGCCCAGCTGGAGTCGTGGATGGATTCCTTGTTCAGGTGGAGACTGCTGCTCATCGTTACCTGAAGGGTAGGCATGGCAAAGGCGAATTGAAAGGTATACCCGTCAACGGCCAAGAAGTGGTTTCTGTGCATCCTGCCAAGTCTCCAGGAGACACATTATTCCTTGCAGCAAGAATGAAAACAAGGTAATTCATGAAAGAGTAATTGATGTCTGGCCAGTGACAGCAACCTGCGGGTCCGGTTATGCTGTACCTTGCAGAGAGCATCCTGTGGCAGGCTGTGAAAAGCCCTGCTACAGCCTCCAGCAGGAAGGGTCTGGGAGGTGGTAAATCAGCCTCCACCCTTTGCATTTTATATGCAAACTGAAGCGTTGCTTTTATTTATTTATTTTCTCCGAATGCCTTCTAATGTAATTAAGAAGCTGTGTTATCAAAAGCCTTCTGGCTGGGAAAGGAAAAAGCAGCCTGTAATTCATTTATAAGTCCTTCTAGGAGCCACGTAATTGCTTATCGCTGGCTGGATGGAGGGTGAGCTTCCCAAGGGTCTGCGTTTCTGTATTCCCATGGACGCTGGGTTGAAATAAAGGGAGAGCAGATATTAAAAGGTGAAGGACTGAGAGAGAACCGTCCGTAATGACGTATTATTAGCAGTTGCATCTGTTTACTGCAACTGTAGAAGGATGAGTGCCAGTAAAGGAAAGAAAAGTGACAGAGGACTTCAGTCCTCTATGTCAGCTTTAACTTTAGTTAAGAAAACGGAGGTGAAGTAGTTGGGGAACTTATATCACGTTATGTGGAAGAGTTTTCTTTTTCATCCTAATTTCTAGTTGACTTTTCTCCAGGTTTTTTGTAACCTCTTGCTTCTTATCGCTCTGAAGACTAAATTATTTTTGAAGTGTTGTTAAATGTAAAGTTAATGAAAACTTGATTTTTGTTTGATGACAAATGCTGCTTTAAAAAAAAAAAAACTTCCTTTATCCTAACAAAAAAAGGGAGAGAGAGTGAACATATATAATTCAAGCTCTTTCATAAGAACCATACCACGTTTTCCCCTGGCATCTGCTACAAAGCCTGTAAACAAGACAACTGTGAGTTGTGAAACGCCAAACAATAATTTCATTCCTGGAACAAAACTTCTCTGACAGTGCCTTGTCCTAGCTTGAGCAGAAATGCAGATCAGGCAAAAAAATGGACAAGAACCACCAAAAGTTATTTTGCTGGCATGTTTACACTTGTTTCTAGGATTTGAAATAACATATTTTCCCTTTTTATTGCCCCTTTTTTAAAGCAATATGTTTAAACAAGTGTTTTTGATAAAACAGGATGAATAACAGCAATGCTCTTATTCCTGTCCTTAAGCTTGTATTTGGTAAACACTTTCACAAAACATCTAATTTTTTTAAAAAATATTTCAGTGAAGTCATACTATTAAAATACTCGTATAAAAATTAAACACAATAAACTGCAGTCAAAGGGACAACTTTCCCCAGACATATAACCCCTTTTTGGAAGGCGGGGGGTGGTTAGATGGAAACTCTTGTAAGGGCAATAGTTTTCAGCTGCTGCTTGTTCAGCATCTTTTGCTGTTCCAAGACCAAATCCTGATTTGACATCAGGATTCATAATTGATGAGCCCATTTGGCCTTAAAATGTTTTCACTCACTTTCTTCTCTCTTTTTCCACCCCCCCCCCCCCCCCCTACATTCAATGTAAAAGAAGTCCTTCGGTCCAGCTGTCTCAATAGGCAACCATCAGGTTTGTGTTGTGTGGGGTTTGGGGGGGATTTTTTTTGTTGTTGCTTTTGGATCAAATTTTTGCGAATAAAGATGCAACATTTCTAACTTCCAGTTTTGTAAGCTTAGCAAAGAGTACAAAAGTCAGGCTGCCTTCTGTGTCACTGTCGTTATTGTTTATAAAGTTCAGGGTCGGTTACTGGCCTCGGTTATATTTCTGTCTTCCTTTTGTCTAAGTGGGACAGCGCTGATTTAAGAAAGGCAACTTGGCTCTGCTGGTAGCACGTTGTTAATAGCTCCGAGGTGCGGGCTGGAGTAAAATCTAGCTCACTTTCCAGAGCAGGTTGCTTTCTGTTCTTATCATGAACTTGTTTAAAGACCAATTCATTTGTGGCTGTTTTTGTTTGTTTTCCTCTTTAAAACTGATAGCTGAGTTACAAACACGGGGGAGATTGTGTCCCTTGGATAAGGAGGTGTTATCTCTGTATGTGGTCCTGCTTCTGAATAGTAGCACGCTGTAAATGTTTTTCTTTCCATTTTTTTCAAGAGGAACTTGGACAAAATAGGTTAACTGCTCCACAGGAAGGAGAAAGCTTTTTTTCTGGTCAACCCCTGTAAGAGGCTACAGTGCAATTGGAGGGCTCCTGCAGGAGACTCGTGAAGCTGTTAGGCGCCTAATTTCTTTCAAGTAACCAGCATTATGAGGCATATTACATGAAGGTGATGTAACCAACTTTAAACAGACTTGCTCCAACGAGCATATTAAATATGTTCCTGTCACCATATTAAATATGGTGTTTTCCAATAAATATTTTTCTCTTCATACTGTAACTCGCAATACTTTCTCTTTGTCCTCAGGGATTTTTCTGTTTTGCTCTTGCGTTCTGTGGATTGATACCAGCTGCCTTCTGGAGATACACTCACAGGACAGAGGTAAGCGTTGTTTGCTAGGAAATACCAGCAAACTCTCATCCGATAGAGGTTTTGTAGTGCTGATTTCTCCTATAAAAGGAACATCTGGTGGTAATTAAGCCGTCCTTGTAGAGGCCTATCAAATACATGCTCTGTCATATCTGTCCATTGCAAGAATGGAGACCGCCTTTACCAGCTGCCTTTCTGAAAGGGGAACATGAGGTGTTTGTCACAGAAGCCCTTGGACAGAAGAACTATTTACTCCTGAAGGCAAAATGAAATGCGAGTCTTGTTTCAAATAGCTTTGTGGGGGTTTTTTTGTTTGTTTTGTTTTGGTTTTTTTTGGTAAGATTAGATGCTTGACTCCTAAAGTCTTTTTCTTGTCTCATCCAGCTCTAATTCCTGCTAAAGTCAGTTAGGAGTCTTTACTCAAAGACTGTGGTAGATTGCAACAGTTCTGATTGTCTTTGTCTGTGGTGATGTCCAGGAGCTAAACATCCAGATAGTGTGTTTACTAACCATCAGCAGTGATGACAGAGTAAAAAAGCTGGTATGAGACAAGGTGTTATGAGTTGCTGTCACATTGAGATAAGTGAGCTGGAAGGAGAGGGTTGCCCAGGGCCTCATCTTGAAGGTTGAATTTGCAAGAAAGTCGGTTTTTTGAATCACTGTTGTGGAGCTTGCTGGTGGTGTAGTAGACAGTGCTGGAGATCTGGCAGCAGTCTTGTCTGCTTTTCCTCTGTGAAGGAGTTTGCTGGGTGAAGGTGGTAGAGGAGCTATGGATGCCAAGCTCCTGCTCCTTTGCCAGCTGTGTCTCCTGAAGGTGATATGGATAGAGTTGGAGAGGTGCTCAGGAAATCAAAGGTGAGGTGCTTGGCAGCAGGACCAGTGAGGGATGGACCTACGAGGGACTGGGGTCAGTGGCAGCTCTGACCTTACTGTGGGCAGCTGGGGTTGCAGGCTGCTGTGAGAAGCAGAAGTTGAACTTAATATCTTGCAGCTTAAAGAAGCCTAGACTTTTTCTTGTTCTTTCATAATCTGGTATTGTTTTCTTTTTATGTATTTAATCCTCTTCCCTTTTAGAGGAGTTTCACTGGTTTTCTTGGTATTAATTCTCCTTCCCTGCCCCCGCTCTCATAAAACATTTTGAGAGACTTAGGAGTTCAAAAAAAAATGACATCCTTTTTGAAAGCAGAACAGCACTGACATTTTAGACTAACGTTTGAATGTGACGTGGGTTGTATGCTGTTGAACAGAAGCTCTGATAAGTGTTTCACACTTGCATATATGTTTCATGCAGTGGATTATGTCTGTTTAACTCCTTATCCCCAGGTGTGTGCCACAATCTGAAATGATCAGTCCAGCAATGAGAATATGGGTGATGCGAAACACTGTTGGTGGGTTAGTGTCAAGTTCATCCCCTCAGCTCATCTCTTTGGGGTTATAAATGTAGTGCAGGGATCTAAGACTAGTTTTTCAGGAAAAGTGTGTCAGAGGCCTGACTGTGAAATATCTTTCTGGGCTGGGAAAGCGTAATTCCATCAAAATCCTAATCCTAAAGGTTGGGTCCATGCTAGAACTGCTGCAGTTACACCTCTAAAGAACTAGAAATGTTAGGAGGAGAGGTCATCCTTTTTGCTCAGGTGCGGCCCCCAGAACACAGCTTGTAGAAGCCCTGTCTTATAACTGTGTTCTGCGCAGAGCGCCCTCTGCGGAAATTAAAATACCATCCTTCTGGAAGCGTAAGACTAAAGGGAGATGTCCAGGTTAAAGCGAGGGGATACGGTCCTGCTTCTGTAGAAGTATGCCCAGAGCTGACCGGTGGCCACAGTAGTTGAAAACCCTTTGGAATACCCAAATGCCTACACTGGTTCGGACCAAGGATATTCAGAGGAACACAACGGCTGTTGGCCAACGTAAGAGCGTGAGAGCAGAGCCGAGCGTAAAGCGTTATTTTAACAGATGCCAGAAGTTTGAGTTAGGGGTAAGGTGCTGGTACCTTTGTATTTGATGGTCCCCTGTGGATTTTTCCTCCTCGAATTTGTCCAGCTTCTTCAAAAATGTTTGAGTGAATGCTGCTGGCACGGCAGCATAATCCCTATCGTGACACCAGTGTCTGTGCCCAACATTTCCTCTTTTACCTGGCAGAAGCAATGTCAATCAGAGCTGAGAAGTTGTCTTTGCACAGCCTGTGGGCATATTTTCCTTGGTTTCAGGCAAAACCATTTCAATTTGTTATTTTCACACTAATATTTTGATATGGAAATAACTTTATTTTCTTGATCAGTATAGAAGGGAGGCCTAGAACATTCTTTCTCATTCTTTCTCTTTCTTATTCCTCTGCAGAAGCTTGTAATGAGAGGTTTTTTTAAAAAAATATGTTACTAAAGGAGAAGCAGTACTGGAAAATGTCTTGACTGGTCCTATGAAATTGCCATATATAAATAGACTACTTGGTCATTCTTTTTACTCCACAAATATAGAATAGGCTGTAAAAAGACCACAAGAAAGAACAGTATATTGAATGAAAAGGATGCAGCCGTTCAACATAATTCTTTCACTGCATTTCCCTTCCCTGTTCCCCTACTCCAACCTTGATTCATTGTCTTGGTGGTTTTTGCTTTGTGTGGGGAGGGGGTGGGGGTTGCTTTCAGAGTGACTTATCCATGAAGGGACCTGTGTGTCATGGTTCACTTCAGCAGAATCTTTGATTGTTTTGGTTTTCTTTTTGAGAATGTTTTTCATTAGAGAAAACGAGGGTAGCTTTTGAGGGAGGAAAAAAAAAAAAGTTTCCAGTTAAAAAGAAAAAAGTATTTCTGACAACAGAAAGATGAAAATTTCATTAGAGATCCTTTCAGGTTTATCTTCTTCCTGCAACGCAAAGAAAAACAGGGGACGCAAATGAGGGAAGGTTTCGTTAGGACTGTCCATGACAAGCCATATGGAATTTTGGTTGACGTGAAAGGTAACCTGTCTCACCAGTAAGAAAGAAATGCAGATAAGACTCCATCTCCAGAACAGAAAGAGGGTGCAGTAATACTGGAAACTGAAGGTGGCAGCAGGGGGAGAAGACTCCTGAAATTTAATTATAGAACATCTAGTTATCTGACTCTCCCAAGGTAAAACTGGAGAGTAAAAGTAAACCAGATGTCCTCACACCGCCTGCTTTATGTTGGTATTGTCAGAAATAGCTGATTGCAGTGCTCCAGGAAATAATATAGTCAAATTTACCTGTATCTTTTAAGCCTTTTGGTGTAGGCAACTACCAAGTCAGAAACAGAATTTAGGAAAGTAACCCTGTGTCCTCACCCAATACACATGCCTGAACCAGTGCCTCTGAAAGCACTGAGGGGCTGCTGCCCTTATGTTTGGGTCTTTAAAAAAAAAAAAAAATTGCTTTTTTCAACACACAAAATATGTTGACTTTCCAGTGAAAAGCCAGTGTACTTTGGCAGAAAATCAACACGTTCAGTTTGGAAATGCTAGCTGGGAGCTTGCATTGGTGGTAGATTCTTCTCCCTTCTTCTCTGTGGGACAAAGTGCCATATGCAGGCACCATTAAAAGCTGTGCCCTTCCCTCTGTGCAAGGCATAAGCTGTGTAGGCTACTCATGGTGCCAAATCACGGCAGGCTGTAACAGTGTTTTAGTCTTCTTGATCAGAAAAACCTAAGTTTTTCCTTATAAAGCAGAACCCTCTTATTAAAAATAATCTAAAATGAACACTCCATTTTTCAAAAGAATAGTTTTGATGGTTAGTTTTGAGAGGCAGTAGATAGAAATGTCATTTGAACATGATAAAAGCGAGGTGCCCCTTCTTCCTTTGTGACTCGTTTAGAGACCTATTTACAATACTTCTCATAGAGAAGCTACTCAAAACAGGAAAAAAAGAAGAGTAATTTGTAAATATTTGATATTCCTAGACCCAGGCATTGCATCCCAAACACATGAACCTTCTCATTTCCAACTCTCTTTTACTTTTATGTCTTTCTGTACCTTGAATAGCTTCTTTCGGACAGGTATCACTCATCTTAAATCAGTTACCTGCATCTCAGCTATTCGGTGTCACTAGTCTTTATTCTTAAAATAACTTATACCAGCTATGGAAAATCATGAATCTCAGATCTATCATGCTTTACCCTAAAAGGCTGAATCCCTTGTTTAGCATTTTAATTATCTTTTTTCCTCTAAGTTCTTACCATCCATGTGGCCAGTAAATGGGTTTTGTGAGATTCAGGGCTCCTTTGTACTGTGTTTTTCAGGATGTTTCGCATCAATCTGTCTGCGTTAAAGTGCTTCTAATGAGAAAATAATGACCTGCCTATTTCCAAAGTATGTTTGTCTGCTAGGTTCTGGGGAAGAAAAAAAAATAGAGGTATGGTGAAGAAATAATTCAGAGTAACCAACCTGCTGGAACAAGCTATGCTAAGCATCCCAGTGACAGGGCCTTCAAATGCCGAGATCCTGTACTTCTATCTTGGATTTATAATGTGTCTTAGTTCTCATGCTTGTAAGACCAATAGTGGTTGGTTAATAGTAATCAGCAGTAATTAATCCACGGGAAAGCAGCATTGATTGCTGAAGAGAAGAAGGAAATGAGTGTCTGCTCAGCACCAGCTCTTGACATGTAGAAAGGATGACGGTCAAATTATGACTGATAAACCACAAAAGTATGGAAGCTTGTGTGGCTGTGAGAGGGGAGCTGTACACGCTTCTGCTGCTGCAGGTGGCCTTTTTCAGCCCATGCTGCACAAGGTGAAGGATATGGGCCAAGAGGGATGGGCTGCCTACATGCTCCAGAAGAGCAGGTTGCCGTGCTCTACACAGTCTGCACCTAAAGCTGAAAATTGCCTGGCTTAGCCAGCTTGTCTTTGTGTTCTTCAGCCAACCTGATGATGTGACGTCCTCCATGTAACGTGCTTCCAGACGCTTTGCTGAAGTCCAAACACCCAGGATCTGTAATTACTTTGAGGAGTACAAACCAAATGCGTACCTCCAGTGATCTGTCTTTGCATGTCACTTG